TTCGTTCGAAACACGCCCCATAATCACAGCTCTATGGAGCAGTATCAGACTCATATTCTGACTAGAATTGAGTCGGACTACGTCAGGCTAGGAAAATTCCCAAATTTCAAGTAAAAAATGGAAAGCACCAAACAGCCTGTGCGTCATTATGTGTGTTTTTATTTCAATTTCTAGATAAATAAAAAAATTTTTTAACTTGTAGATACTTTACAAATTTACTTCAATTTAGAATAAGAAAGACAGACTCAATAGAAACCTGCAGCAAGGTTATTTTTTTTACATAGTGCAGTAGTTAATTTGAACTATCAATGCAGAAGAAATATAAATCAGGTAATGATGAGCTTAAAGGTATAGTGGAGAATTTTCTTTTTCCGCGTGCATCATCTAAATAAGTGGTCCTTAGAATTGTCAATCATTCTGGTTATGTGTTTATGTAAGGCCATCCTACGTGCTCATCCCCATTTTCACTTACCAGTGGTGAGTCTGAAATAGACGAAAATTGCAAATGTTCTTTTGGAATGAAAGCTTGTATGAGCGATGCAAACAGCAACTTTTAAACAGAGCATGCATGATGAGAAATGGGCTCATGCACGCTCTCGTAGGCATTTAATAGGTGTTCCTTGTCTGGAGTGGCTACAGAGTTATGCACTTTTATTTTTTCAAAGTGGAGAGGAGGGCAGGTCTTTTCAAAAATTCGCCAAAATCCTCCACTATATCTTTAAATGTTTGGGGGGAAAAAGGAAATAATTTAATCCATTTTCAAAATAACACAATGTAAAAAAATGAATAAACTTTTTAGATGTAAGAGAACGAGATTAAAGAGAACAGTTACAGTAATTCTGCCAAAGAGACTCACCAGAATATCAATTGCTGGGCTGCCATTGGATCCTTGAGGCTTATTCTGAAGGTTTCCATCGACCCCATGAATGTAATAATGATAAAAGTGCCTGGAAAATATTTTTTTATATAGAAGCATATTTTAAAATTAAAAAATTAAAAAAAACAACAGCTCACTATTCATCTTGACCCACATTTTGACGTTTCAGACTTAATCTGGATGAGCGAACTTACGCTAGCTTTCTGGTCCACTCTTTAAAGTCCTGCTTTAGATATTTCATGTGCTCAGGGCAGATTCCTGTGATGACAACAGCAGTGAAGCTGTGCTTCCCAGTTTCCTCCCTGATGATGTCCTGAAGAAAGGCTTCGTTGCCTTTAATGTGTGAGAAGTCACCAGGCTGCCACAGAAGATTAAATTAAAAAGTTCATCCAGCTTATTCCCTCATCACAGCGACTTTTACCAAACACCTTCATTTAAAGCTCTCACCTTCCTGTTCAAGATGGTCCCTTTGTAAACATCTTCTTTGTTCTGCTCTTTTTTCTGGAATTCCTCCTTTGACAGGACCAACTCATGAACGTCTGGCGAGCTGATTGGTTTGCTGATCATCTGATATTTAAAGAAGGTTAAATATTACAGTAACTTTTTACAAATTAATAAACCATCAATTATAAAATAAATATACAAAAACAGGTGCTGCATAATAAACAGACAAAACATGAAGCACACAACATTAAATGAAGATTAAGCTAAAACTAGAAGAAAAAGGAGTAAAATAACATTTATTCACAGTCAGCATCTCGTAAAGATTCACTGGTTACAGGCCAGAGAGTAAAAGTGTGTTTTTAACCTCAGAAAGTGAAGCTGGCTAACATTCTGTGGCAAATCAAATTACAGATTAAGAGCAGCAATGGCAAAGGCTCTACCACTATCCGAGTTTGCATTAAGTCTTGGAACAGATAAATGAACCCATCCTACTGATCTAAGGGAACAAGACGGTACATATTGCTAAAACACAGCCATAAATAAAACAAGCAATGAGCTAAACAATGGTTAAAACAAACAGATATTTTCTTCTTGTCTTTCTTTCTCCTATATATTTCTATTCTAAATTTCAGAAAGAATTAATTCTTCACTCCAAAGACGAAAGTTTGCACTAGTCGCTCACTCTGTCTGCATGCATAGGCTTTCAGATCATATTGTGGCACCCAGTTGGCTTATTGAATTTCATTTCTGTGTTTTAAACTTTTCTTTTACGCTATTTGTTGGTAAACATAAGCTTGTTGCAGACCATGTGACCGGAGGTACAATATTGCACATGCATGGAAGAAGTGAACAAGTAAGTGAGCCAAGCAACTCCCAGTGGAGGGGTAAAAAGAAGGTGGGAAAAGCCAAGAGCAAGTCTGATAGTAAGGGCAAATATAGGGGATGCCAATGAGGACATGACACGAGTAGCGCTCTGAAAGCAATATGAACAATGGTGGTCATAAAAGCAATAGCTGAAACTGCTTAATTGATGGAAACCTGAGTAAATACGGCAAGCAGATGGTGACAGTCTACAACAAAATCTGCTGATTGTGTCCGTTTTGCAAACTAATTTAAGGCACCAAATGGTCTAAGTAAACAATATCAGGACAAATGTTTGGTGCTACGGGTTGGCGATATATAGAATATACTCGATGGATCTTGGGTTGCCCAAAGCACAAGAGTTAAAATGATTATCGCAGCCATCGAGTACAAATTCCCATGATGACATTAAGTTGTCTGCATCTATTCCACTGAAAGTCTTATTTTCCCCCCCGACACTTTGAATGCATCATAAACCCCTCCTCTAAACAGGATAATTTTCTGTGCAGCACACACACTCACTACAGCAACTTGCAAACATAATATGGCAACAGCAGGTGTTTCAGCTCAGCAATATATGGCAGTGGTTTGTATTTCACATCGAGGATGTTGAACAAAAAGCACCAATTTGTAAGACGTGCCGCAAAAACCATTGCTGCAAAAGGTAGCAGTACAGATTTATTCCACCATCTAAAAAGTAGATGTTTAGTCTACTAAAAAGTAGACTAAACTTGGCAATGTTTTAAATTTTACAACTTTTTGTGCTTCTTTAAAATTCCCAGCTTATAAAAGTCAATGCAAATAGTTTGGAGGTGCTCTGACAATGCTGCAATTTTTGGACGGTATTTCAACGTTTGATTTTGTAATTTGAAGTGAATTTCTTTCATTCTGCATTTTTTTTTTGTATTATACACAAAAGAGCCCTTTGTTATTTTACTTTTTATTTAGTGTTGTGTGTTTTTTCTTTCCTGTTTGGTTGGTTGGATGTTGCTAAAGGTCTAATAATGGCATCCAAAGACATAGTGTGGCAGAATTATTAGTGAAAAGCTTTGAGCTGGTTAAATTAAAATGTTTTAAATTTAAAACTAAAGAGTGAGTATATCAGTGCAATTTGATGCACTCTATTGTTTATGAAGGTAATTTAAACATATCACGATATACGTTGTGTATCGCGATTGTAGCCCAAATATATTGTGATATTAGACTTCTTTCACATCGTCCACCACTACTTGGTGCACGTCACTTTAACTTAACTTGATTTTAGTGTTTTTGGTATAGCCTTAGTATGGGATGTGACAATGGAAATTCTTCACTATTAGGTGTTTTTGCAAGATGACAGAATTTGTGGTTTCATTGATTAATGTTTTCCTGGTCCTGAAACAACAAAGCAGCCCCTCATCCTCACACTGCCAGCACTGTGTTTGGATGTCAGAATGTTCTATTTTTACAATGATAGGTTTCTAAAACGTCTAATGGATCATTGAGATGTTTTTCTAATTTATTTTAGAAAAAAACATAAGGCAGGGCTTTGTGTTCTGTTTGGCAAACGTCAGTTGTTGCCTTAGAATTACCATTTTTGCCCTGTTTTTATTTAATAATAATAATACATTTTATTTGAAAGCACCTTATCAAAACACCCAAGGACACTGTACAGGCAGATAAAACATTAAAAACAGGAAGCTAAAAAGTACAAGCATAAAGATGCCACAGAAAACAAAACAGCAGGAAGTAAAATAACGCCAAAGGAAGAAAAGGAAGAAAACAACATTGGAGTGATGCATATGAACTAGATGGTATAAGACTGTCTGAACAGGAAAGTTTTGAGTCTGGATTTGAAAAGAGGGAAGGAGTCCAGAGAACGGAGATCCGGAGAGAGGGAGTTCCAGAGGTGGGGAGCAGAGCGACTAAATGCCCGGTTTCCCATTGTGACAAGACGGGCCGAGGGAACGGAGAGCTGGAAGGTGTGGGAGGATCGTAGGGAGCGGGTGTGGGTGTTAACGTGAAGGAGATCTGAGATGTAAGATGGAGCCAAGCTGTGGAGGGCCTTGAATGTAGTTAGGAGGAGTTTGAAGATGATTCTTTGTTTGATGGGGAGCCAGTGGAGTTGTTGCAGGATGGGAGTGATATGATGAGAAATGGGGGTCCGAGCGATCAGGCGTGCTGCAGAGTTTTGGAGGAGCTGTAGCTTCTGGAGGGACTTGCTTGGAAGGCCAAAAAGAAGTGAATTACAGTAATCGATGCGTGAAGTGATGAGACTGTGAACAAGAATGGCGGTAGTTTGGGGAGTGAGGGAGGGACGGAGACGAGAGATGTTACGCAGATGGAAGTACCCAAACTAAGCCAAAAGAGTCCCAAAGTGTTTTAAATGTGACTTCCGCTGCAAACTGGATTGTCAAAAGTTCTGAGTTTTCAGACTCATAACAAATCCATCTTAAAAGATTCCCACTAATACGTCCGTCTCTGAACCACCAGCGGGTCAGGCCAATGACATGCCAGTAGTGTTTTTTGGGGTGGGACATGTAGGAATGAGAACAGTCAGAAGGGCCTTGCTGGGGCATTACAAACATGGCTAAACTGGAGGACTCACCTGTCAATACCACAATTGACTCGGTTTTAGCAAAAATAGAGACAATTTCTCATTTAAAAAAGGAGAAAAGAGAAACACTTTGTGCATTTGTAGATGGGAAAGATGTCTGTGTTTTTCTCCCTACAGGATTTGGAAAAAGTTTGATTTATCAACTTATGAAACGTCACGATCCGCTGCTACAGTTGGCTGAAAGCGTATTATGGAAGACAGGTACTAAATGGCACGACACCAAATCACCTCGAAGTATTGTACGAAACGTCCCTCCTTTTCACGGACAGACTGAACGGTAGCCATCCCAGATTGATAGAGTAGTTCTCTTTCATAGCATTTGTTTCGTGTCTCACATTGGGAACACCTCCAGCGTGAACTCATCAGAAGCTCCTTTTACATTACGCCAGCCAGGTTGGCTGGAAAATAAGCCTGTCAGTGTCAGAGAGGGCAAGGTCCCTCCCCCTATAAATAGGGCTGACACTGTGCTGCTTGTTATTCAAAAACCTCTTCTCGCAACGAGCAGAAGTTACCAATTAGCTCTCTCTTGGATACCGTCTCTCTTGGAGCCTAGCTTAACTGTCCAAAGACTCGCGCGCAAGCTCGGTCGCTGGGTACTTTGCTCCGAGTTGGTTCGGTATCAAGCGGAGACGTTTTCCTGGTAGAAATACCATAAAACGAGTAGTAATACTCGAGTCAACGCACCGCCTCACGGCTGTACGTTGGTCGACACTGAGTAGCAATACTCCCTAGCTACACCCCGGGTGGCCAAAACGCCGTCCCCAACCTAGCCACACCTGGTTAGCTTAGCTTTCACAAGCTAATTCCCGTGTAGCCCCAAAGCCAATCTCCAAAAATAAAAATAATGGAAACTGTTAAATCCTCTGCGAAAGTGGAGGGGAGCCCCAAGGGATGAACCTGCCCGTGTGACAATAAAATGTCAAGCTAGGACACCCACCCATCGTGTGTGGTATGTCTCGGTCTGAAACTCACCCAGGCAGCCCTCCAATCTACGGAGGAGTGCTCACACTGTAGCCGGTTCTCCCTGAAGGTGCTTCCCGCCGCCTGGCTCGTCAATCGACGATGTCCGGTAATGACCCGGTGATGGCCTCCACGGCACCGACACAAGAATCAACCGACCAGGCTGTCTGTTTACCCACCGATGCAGAGGCCGGACCGAGCTGGAGAGAAATCCTTGATTCCGTGGACCCATTACCACGGGAAATACCTGAGCTAGGTATCGCTTCGAGCCAGCTCAATTTGCTGTTTGAGGGGGACGAGGAGCTCTCTGACTTGGAGTCGGAGCTACCCTTCTCGGACAACGATGAGGACTATGACTCGGCCCCGGCATCCTCGGTTCGGATTGCAAAACCCACACCCCCGGTCTCGGAGCAATCTGGTCAGGACGGTTCCCCATCGGAGCTGGATTTTGACTTGCACGACGTGTGTAAATGCGCTGCTGCAAAGCTCGAGTTGCAGTGGCCAGAGGTCCAGGCAGAAGCTGCCTGCTCCCGCTTTGACGGGAAAAGGCTGCCTAAGACCTGCAAGACGTCCAGACAGCTCCTACCAATTTTCCCGGAGCTGCTGGAAGAATTGGCCGTCTCCTGGCGCAACAAGCCGTTTAAGGAGAAGCACCCAGTAGCCGGCAGTTTGGTACTGGATTGCGAATGGATGGAAAATTACAGCCTTCG